TTTTTTTTTTTCGTTTTTTTTCATTCGATCTTTATATATATATCATTTTTCATCGCTATACATATTGTTTTTTACTTTACTATATACAATATTTATGCAAATTAACGAGATCTTTCTCGTGAGATTATTCTTTTTTTTTTAACGAAAGTTTAAAGTATGTGTCCGTTTCCGTTTACCGCCATATCTACCTTCTTCTCGACCGTAAACATTGCATCTAAATATAAATGCGTCCTTGGTTCTTACACGTAAATGTATTTCGCGAATCTGGCGATACATCGTATATACGATTCTCGTCATTTCCTCGCTTTTTATATTTCGATATTTTCCTTATTTTTTTCTATTTATTTAATTTTTTTTTTTTTATTTTAAAGTGATTTGTTTGTTGAAAAAAAAACAAAGAGATTTTTTTCGAAACTATTTCCTTTTCGAAAAAAAGATCAATGATGTCGAAATCAAATTTATATATAATAATTTTACATCACACGTCGATAAATACGTGTAATAAATTTCGTTATAATATCGTTCAATTATATATATTCGTTATTCGTTAATATTCCTTGCCTTTGAGAATTTGTATATTTTGTATCGTGAAATGGACACGATTAAAAAGATAAAAAAGAACGTAAGAACGTTTTAGAATTTGAGGAAAAGAGAACGAACGAATATAGAGTAACTCGATTATTTTTTCGCCGAAGATGATTATATAACTTGTGACAGTTGTGCGACAAATATACAAAATGGACGAGATCTTGATCGTTTCGAGAGATAGGGAACAGCTAGAATGTTTAATACGTTACATTTTCGATGTGTTATCCGGAAGAAAAGATCGCGACTCGGAGGACAAGAATCGAATCTCGATCCAAATTGCACAATCTCTCTATTTTGGTTTTCTTATGGCTATAATTTGGCCTTGCTCCAAAATTGAGAATACCTTTTAGGCGACTCGTTACTACCACTCCTCCTTGATAAACTGTCAAATCGCCATGCGATTTGTTGTGCGTTTATCTCTTGCACAAAACATTTCATTAGAATTTGAACAACAACGTATTTATCCACATCTCGAATATCGCGATGTAAACGATACAAACGAACAGTTTTCTCTCTAAAAAAAAATTTAATATCACGAACGCGAATACGAATACTTCACATGTTCTTATTTTACATGCTCATTTTCATCTTGAGTCATAAATTTGAATTTTAATGAATTACAAGTTAGATTTTTTTTTTAAATTCATAAATTTGAATTTCACATATTTTATATAGCAAAGTACAATATTTTTGTATATCAGTCTTTAGTTTATAATATATGTATATATATAAATAATAAATGTTGAGCAAAATGAATCAGGTTTTTTGAAATTTCAAATCTTTTCTATCGTTGATAGAATATAATTAAAATATATCGTATATACCAATCTGAAAAAGAAAAATAAAGTTTTTTTTTGCATAAAATCAATTTATTTTCAATGGTTTTCAGTCCACCAACGTTTAAGACTGCAACACCCACCTCGCGTACACAACTGAAACTTCAGCTGATGCGAGAACAGCTGCAAGAGCAGGAAAGGCGAGAAGCTGAATTTCGTCAGAATTTGCAGCAACAGAGACCAACGGCTGCTCCTCCCAGGCCAGTACCTTCTACCTCACTCTCGACCATCGGCGTAGACGTACCACCACAAGTCTTACAAGTATGTTTATTTTATCTCGCATCCTTTTTTTTTACTGCCGTTTCTCATTATCCCAAACTTGACTCCATCTTTTTCATCGTCACTTACTTTATCACTTTTATCCTATCGTTTCTTTCATATAAATATTTTTCATATACATACAAATATACACGAACGATACATCCACTTATTTATACGTATTTATCTCTTCTTTTTAGATCTCTACTTTCTTATCAAATAATATACGAGAACGATGAGAATAATAATGTAATAGTCGGCCATAAACGGTTCATAAATTTTTAAAAATCCAAATTGAAAAGTATGAAACGGTGTGGTAGCGGTGTTTCTCTTTTTTGCGCAAAAATACCGATCTAAAGACCACGTTATAAATAAGGTAAAGAAAGAGAGAATGGACGGATGAAATTAGCTATATAATATTTTTGTTCGCTACAGGTACGGACATTATTGGAAAATCCGACGCGTTACCATGTCGTTCAAAAGCAGAAGAATCAAGTGCGGCAATACCTTCACGAATCGTTTCGCGGTAACGGAACGATCAGCGCCGGGGATGGAAACGTTCTCGGCAGAAATTCGGTGGAAGGTGTGCCGACATCCGCACCGATGATAGTACAGAGCGCACCACCGGGTCCAACGGTACATCATCCAAAGCCGCAGCATCCTCATCTGGCTTCGTATCCACACGGTCCAACGGTATTGCCGCTTGGTAATCAGGTTGCGGCTAGTCCAGATCCTACGACTGGTGCTATGTCACCAGGTCTTTCCAGTGTCGCGACCAGCAATTCCGAGGTAATTTGTCTGCTAATCTTCAATTTGAATTTCCTCCTACATATGTTTCACGTACACTGGCTAGCACGTATTCCACTCGAACAATCGAAAACGGGGAAAAAGGAAAAACCTCGGAGTTCCGTATATAGGAAACAGGATGAAAATATATGGAAAATATAAAAAGAAAGTACGAAGAATTCGTTCGAGTAGTCATCGATAATCTGTACGGTATGCGCGTATGTCATTAGGATAGAAAAAGAAAAATAGATGCTCATAGCACAATTTGAAGAGTTAAGGTTGAATGCGAAATAGAAGTGATCATATTCGTAAGTATACTTGACATCCTGAAGGTTGAATCGATCGTACGCTCGCTTTCTTTTTCTTTGTTATTCGTCTGGCATCGAAAGTCGGCCAGAAACATACATACGTATGCGCTTACCTATAATGTTTTTTTTCGTAGTTTTTTCGACGTTATACCATGTTGTATCTCTATAAGAAGAATAGATTTTTTTTTTATAGACAGATAATTCTTGTAATCCTTCTTCTACGCGATGTATAAATTTTTCTATCGTGCAAAAATTTCTCGTATCTCGTTGAAAAGAATTCGTTGGTATTCATAATAATAATAATTTACAATAACGATAATCCTGCGATTTATTTCGATTTATCTTCATATTTTAAAAATATGACTGTCCTCGTTTTTGACGATTAAAATATCGTTTATGACGTATAGGTATATTATATTTCCGCATCGATTTTCAAACAAGAAAGAAAAATATAAAATTTCGTACACTTTTCATCAGCTTGATCGGTTAAAATTTTTTTACATTGCTATTTTTTTAGCTACGCTCGGCTATCTGTTGCATGCAATATTCCACGAGCACACCAAACAACTGGGTTAACGGAGAAACCAAATCCGTTACCACGATTCAATACCTAAGACGCGTCGTACAACCGAGACGACGAGTGTAGAATAAATAATAGAATTGAGAGACGATGAGAGAAATTTGACGCAACGCAAATTCGTTCGTCAACAAAATACAACGAAATAATTCGAGTAAAGAATATGTATATATCGCGAAACGAATGGTGAAGAAGAATGGAAGAGATGCATCGAATCGACTAAAAAATATTTTTAAGATGGATTAAGAAAGAAAGACGGAAGAATTGTAAGAGAGAGAGAGAGAGAGAGAGAATGAATAAAAGAAGGAAAGAACGATAGAAGAAATGGGACAAGGGGATCCGGGATACAACGACTCGAATCGAGCGACAGAGACGAAAATGCGTACACTACAATATGATTATGTAGTGGATACAATAGTTGTGGAGTGGAATAGTAGGGGATATCGGATAGAAACGGTAAGTTAACGATAGCCGATAGCGCAACAGGCGTGGGGCATGGTAGAGCGTCGGTGGCGCGTGGCGGGCATTCGAGCAGTAGCGAGCAGTAGCGAGCAGTACCGAAGCGAGCCGATCGACGGTGGAGGTTCGGGAGGTTCGCGCGCGAGAGCAAACCTTCGTGGAGCGTCGTTGGTGGTTCGATGTTCGTTTCGCGGCACGATTTCCCGTCTTCTCTTTGCTCTCGTTCGCTTCTATCGCCTCGGACGCAACGTAATTTCACGTTTCGTTTTCGCAACCAGTCAACTAGGGGGTGAGAGAGAACCACGCCGGATCTTATCCAATGCGGAATATTTTCATCCATCGGATTTGTCGAGAGGCAACACCCGATAACGACATTTGACGACAAGAGGAAAAACTGCGATCCGACGAATCCGCCGAAAGATCTCGCTGTGATCTTAACACCGTCACCGACCGCGACGATATTTATTTATTTCAACCGTTTCGAACGGACGATCAGCGCGCACAACTCGTGTTGTTCGTGTTGACACGGTAAAAAAGCGTATTTGCGGTCAGTTCGATTTTTTTTTTTTTAGAAGCGACAAGAAAAAGTAATGCGTACTATTGCGATGAGTACTATTTTTAAATTTATCGCTTCGCACAAATTGGAGGCGATAAGCCGACCGTTTTTCGGACAATGGATTCTTTTTAACGCGTGACACATTTTCCTTCCCAATATTCGATTATCTTCATTATTTATTCGCCACACTCTTCTTCCTGTCTTCCCTATTATCCCTATTTCTTACTTTCTTCCTCCTCGTTTCTCCTCGTTTCGGGCGTGAGACACGATATTGGGTAACCGCAACCTTGAGGTGCGCTTAATCGCAAGTAACCGAGTCGCGACGAAGTGGCGATACGAGGAGAAAACGCAAGGTTGTTGCAAGAAACGTGGAACGGCGCGGCGCGACGCCACGCGGTGCTCAAAAATGCACGCGTTCCTCGATCGATCGTTCTCCGCCTTTTCCTCCACATTCCTATTCGTATTCGCTCTCACGTTCGTTTCAACGTTGTTCCTCACCTACCAACGATCCCATACCTTTGACCATTAAGAATTGATCAAAAGTAAGCTTAACCATTCGTCCTCGCTCTTATCCTGTTCGATCCACTCGTACTCGTCTTCTCTCCTCTCTCGTTCGTATCCTCCTTTACGCCTGTTCCGATTATTTTTTACGTACCTTGATCGCATCGAGGAGGAGGAAGAAGAAGAAGAAGAAAAAGAAGAAGACGAAACGAAGTTAACGAGATATTCCGTGAATGAGAATTTTTGAAAAAAGAAGGAGAACGGGAAAAGAGAAGGAAAAGAAAAAAAAGAAGATTAATCGCATCGCTTACGATGATAATTACGAAACGGGCAGCGAGAACTAAAGCTATTGCGATGACGTCGAAGATGGCGACAGTGGCTGTGACAATGAAAACGGTGACAAGGATGATGGTGATGACGATGACATGAACGATCGCGATAACGACGATACTAGATGTCTATTGTTTAAATTTTAAGACGAGATAATTTCCATCGAGAGAACAGTTCCAACGATTGTCGAAATAATTCCAACGATTGCACGATCGTATCGTAAATATGCTTTTTTGAAAGAAGAAGTTGAGGATTAATAATAACATTTTTTTTCCATTCGTTGCCATTCTTCTTCACGTTTGCACGTATTCGAATCGAAAATACTCGCATACCACGAACTCGCGCTCCTAACCACGTGCATGCATGCAGCAGACGTGCCCACCCGCGCACATGTCTCTCTCAGTCTGAGTACACACGGTTCTTCTTACTTTTTCATCATCGGATTTTCTTTCAAGCGACGACAACATGCCAGTATTCAATATAATTACCCGCAGGTGTAAGGTGAGTTTTATTCCATTCGTTTAAATATCATCTCCGATAGTGATCCAACATGTATCCGTTTATCGATTCTCTCTCTCTCTCTCTATCTATATCTATCAATCTATCTATCTATCTATCTCTGTCTCTCTTCTGCATTTCATATATATTTTTCGCGTACATTTTTTTCCACGCGGTTTTTCGTTCCCGTTAATTGCATCGCATTATTGCATTATCGCGCTATTCGATTATTAGCGTTACATTTCACAACACGTAACACGTATATATCTCGAACCGAACAGTTCAACGAATGTAACGAATTGAGTGGGAACAAAAAATACATATATAATCGTTTCGACAAAAATTCGAGACAATATTCGAGAGAAAATCCGCGTTTCGATTTACGAATTGATCGCGTACGATATCGATGTACAACGGGCTTGAACAAAGGATATTTATCGTTTCCCTTATCGTTTTAACAAAAATGAGAGAATCGAAGCGCGTTTTCTAGTTTGATAAAAAAATCGCGTCGAGAGGCGAGACGAAGAATCGACCTTACCTTTCCTTTATTCTCTCGCGTACTACAACTCGTGTTACATATGTCGTGATATTTCGTAGATTTCGGTGGCATTTCGTTCGCGTTATCGCGAAACGTGAATCCACGATTTTTCACCATACGAAACTTTCTTTCTTTCTTTCTTTCTTTCTTTGTTTTTTATCGTTCATCGTGTATCCACGAGGAAAACACGCAAGATAAACGACAACACTTCCGATTGCTCGAAGAAACGTATAAATCTTTCTCGATCAAAGACTAAAAATGGTTTTCAAGATAAGGGGCAGCGATTACACTCGTGTCTAGATAACACCTTATCTAGATAAAAAACACCTAAATACCACGAATTCGTTCTCGGTCGATGTTAATATTTGTGAAAGATGTCTCACCTTGCATAATATCAACAAAGACAGCGAAACAAACAGCAAGTCGGAGAGAGAGAGAGAGAGAGAGAGATACGCAATGAACATACGTATAAAAATCGAAGCAAATCTACCGTGAAATCTACCGTTCGTCCATTTCGGTTTCGTTTAATCGTTCTCAACTAATTTCAAGGACTAATTTCCGTTTTTACATTCTTACGAACGTATGATGCACAATATCGAGCAATTTTTTTTTTTTTTACATAACCTCGCGAAATTATTCATCTTCTCGTTTCGAAGAAATCTACGAAAACCTATAAAATTGAAATCGATTGCAGATACATGTATATTTTATCGCGCTACTGCAAAGCGTAGAGATACAACATGGTATATGACGAAACGACACATAAAACTCGATACAACTTCCGTTATGATAATTGCTTCGTCAACATAAATTATCGCGATTCCAATTAAATGTATTCCTTTTCATTTCATTTTCTCGATTATCCGACGATGTATTATCGTCGATAATTTGCTTTTAACGCGATTTCGTTGAAAGATGATCGATCGAATCTTTTTGTTCCTCTCCCCCCCTCCCTTTTTCTCTTTTCTTTTTATCTCCGTCTATTCGACCGCTTTCTCCGTTACAAACCGAATCTTTCCGTTTCACTTCGTACCTTGGTTGCTTTGTGACGTGCCACGCTCCAACGATACGCTCTTCCACGGACAGACGTTATTCGTTATTATTGTTACGTAATGTTTACGTAACTCACACGTACGCAACTCGAATAGGCATAAGCGCCGTTCGTTGAGCGCTGATGCTCGCGATCTCACCACAATCCGTTCGTTTTACATCGTTTCCCATTCTCGTCATTTTTTTTCTTTTTCTTTTTCTTTTTCTTTTCCCCCCCCCCCCCCTTTCTTTCTTTCAATCCCTATATCGAATCTTTCAACGAAACTTTCTCTCCTCTTTTTTTCTTCTAATCTTTTCTTTTTTCTACGTTTTAAAAATAATTCCTCTATTATCCCCTGAATATCATCGTTTTTTATCATCGTTTAATTCGTAATACTTTTCTTCAAAAATCAACGAAATCGATAAAAATTCGATAAGAAGAAAGCAGCGTTATTTGTTTATGTTAAGTCGACGCAGAGTATAGAATATATATATACATCGAATATATCGAATAAAAGAGAAATGAATATTAATATTGAAAAGAATCGAAGCGATTACGATTATGATCGATGAGATAATTTTATTATCTCGCTTCATTTCTTTCGTTTATTCGCGTATATACGAGCAATATTGTTTCGTCGATATCCTCGATAGGATATCGATTTATCGTTAAAAAACGTGGATGGACCATGCGATCGCTTTAGTCACGTCTGATTTTCTTTTTTTGTCCGATTACAGGCGGAGGATCTTTTGGACGACATATTGTCGTTCGAGGCAAACTCTCTAGGTGATAATTTAAAGGACAGCCAATCAGGAAGTCTGACCAATATTCCCGAGTTGCAAATCAAACCGGAACCTTTGTTACTTACGGAGGCGGAGATACACGCGCTTGCCAAAGATCGACAAAAGAAAGATAATCATAATATGAGTAAGTAAGATCGACTGTTGCGTCAATATCGTCGCTGCGCTACCCTGTTACTGTCAATTAGTAGCAGCATGCGAAAAACCATGTAATAATTTATTCATCTCTATTTATTTCGTCGCTATTCGGGTAGAACAGAACCGTCATCGAAACCAGCTCCTCCCAATCGATGTTATATTTTTTATACCTCTTCATTTATTCAATAACGATAAAAATATTCGAAGATATGTATTATTATTATTATTATTATTATTTTCAGTCGAGAGACGACGACGGTTCAACATAAACGACAGAATCAAAGAGCTCGGCACTCTTTTGCCTAAAACTAACGATCCGTAAGTATCCGTTTACGTGCTTTCGTTTCCTACCTCTTCTTCGTCTCGTTGCAACGCATTCAACGATAATGCGACGATAACGCGACGATATCGAGTATCTTCCGAATACAATTATTTTCTTTCTCGTATCTTTTCCTCCTCTCTTTTTATTCCATTACAATGTACGCGTTGCGTTTTATTGCGTTATGTTTTTTCTTTTTTTTTTTTTTTTTTTTTTTTTTTTTTTTTTTTTTTTAAACAAATATAAACACACGTTTGCAAAACGAGGAAAACGATGAATGAACGATTTTCTCTCCTCTTTTCTCGATATAATTGCACGAATCGTATCGCGCGAAAGAAAGACGCCGAGTATCTACGACTCGATAGTAGACCAGTGTTACGGTGTCGCGACTCGATAACAAAACGAGTCTAATTACACGGCAAACACGGCCCATACGACCCCGTTTTTCTTTTCGTCCACCGGCGTATCTTACGACTCGAGTAAAGATTGTATATCGTATTTGCTTTCGTATTCTCTTACGAAATTCACACGAATCGAGGTAAGTTTATTCGAAGACGAGGGATCGATAATTTTTCGAATCGAAAATTAAAAATCGAAACGTATCGGTTTCGTAATATCGTCGATACATATATAGATACATCCCGTTTTCAATTTATTAGCACCCTATGATTTGGCGATTCTCTCCTCTTAGGCGCTCCTTAGGATTTTGTATTTTGTTCGATGTATTTTGAAACGTTCTGCGCATGCGCGTATCGTAGCCTAAGGCGCGCGAAGGGGAAGAAAACTTCCCCTTAAAAAAGGGGAACGAATGTTTACGCATGCGCGTATAAACGGCAACACCGGATTCATCGTTTGGTTGCTTTGTTTCAGGTATTACGAAATCGTTCGAGACGTTAGGCCGAATAAAGGCACGATACTCAAGTCTTCGGTCGAATACATAAAATTGTTGAAAAACGAGTTGACAAGAATGAAACAGAACGAAGTCAGGCACAAGCAATTGGAACATCAGAATCGCCGACTCCTTTTACGAGTTCAAGAGTTGGAATTGCAAGCAAAAGCGCATGGCCTTCCGGTTTCTGATTTCAATTGGGCCTCCACTTCCGGTAGCATGTTGAACGCCTTTGCTCGAAACAAACTCGAGCATCGCAAGGTAATCCAACCTTAATTCCTTATTTTTTCTCTCTCTCTCTCTTTCTCTCGTCCCCGAGAGAGAGAGAGAGAGAGAGAGACACTGCTCCTCGGTTCAAGCTATATACGTACGTGCTTCCGTTTTTACATAACGGCGAAACGTACGTATTCTCGTGTACTAACCACATTACACGATTCCTATGAATTTTTCGTCAAGGTTATCCCGATCAACGCCGATATACCTACACCGATGTATAGTTTCACGATCCTTGATCCGAATAAACGCTCGCTTCGTTCCCGAGACTGGTTTCGTAATTCGCATCTGTTCCGATCACCAGACTACTACTATGTAACTACTACGATATCGTTCCTTTATTCGTCGTTCTGTCCTCTCTCCTCCTCTCTTTCCAACCTTACAACGCATAAATAGACAATTTTATACTCGATATCGCCGACAACTCTTCTTCTCCCTTACTCCCACTATTTCCAACCACTTATTGTTCCCGTTTATTTTCCCAATCGTATTTATCGTCATTTATCGTTTTTCTTTTTTTCTTTCTTCTTCCTTCCACCTCTTCCACCTTCTACCGCGACGAGGAAAGATCGTTCCGCATAGATAACGAGAAAATTTGAATCGTATTTCCGTATTATTACGATCTCCTTTTCAATATCGCGAATAGATATCGTATTCCTCGATCTATCCCATCTAGAATAGATTTTTTTTAGTTTTCCACACGTGTCTCGAAAAGTAGATAGATTATAGTCGACGATCGTGTGTAACGATGTAACACGATATCTATATCTGTATATATTTATATTCGTATTCGAACAGATTCCAGAATTGGTTACCGAAGAAGCAACGAGTTTGAGCATGTCTCAACTGGAAGATCTGATGGAGGACGACGGGAATGGGCCGATTCATAGCGGCGATCCTATGCTCTCCTCGCCTCATCTGCCGCCGTTGAGTCCGACGCAAACTGGTTGTCAACATGGGCTGCCGGACGAGGACACTCTCGGTAGTTTGGCACCGACCACGCCCAATTCTTCCTCCGACATGGATATCGTCGCGTAATACGATTCAAACGGAATCAAATCGAATGGAATTCGAATCGTATTCCAATATTATTTATCGGAACGAGCTAGCAACGAGAGTGATGCGAATGATACGTAGCGACGATGCGGTCGAAAGAGAGAGGCAAATAAGTTGGTTGCGTCGCGTTGCGATCATCACACAAGCGTTATGTTCTTCTTTTATCGTTATCTTTCTTCAACGGCTGGCCGTTACCCCCTCATACTTGCATACGTATTACGAACTATACGTTTTACACGAATACTAGAACGATACTGGTGCATACAATATTTGTACGATAGGGTCGTTCTTCTCTCGAAACCTCACCGACTCGCCGCGCGTCTTTTAACTTTTATCGTTAGTTCGCGATTACACCGTTCCCGTTACCATGGGAACGTCGAATAAAGTGCGCGCGCAACGCATTTGTTGTGGGAATAAAACTCGCGCAGGTCGCGAGTCGTCCAACGAACGAACAAACAAAAAAATCTTAAAATATTTTTGAAATTGCATATCGCGTTCACTCGTCCGAAATTACGATATTTTGGATGTTTCGATCTCGCGAGATTCTTTTCATTCGCTCATCTTGCTTCGTATCATCGATCGAGCGTATTTCAACCATTTATTTAAAATTCTTTTCACGTCTTTGTTTCGTTACTTTTTTTTCTTCTCTCTCTCTCTCTCTCTCTTTCTTTCTCTCTTTCCATCTCTTCTCGCGAAGATACAAAGATGCGAACATCGTTTCAAACGTCGGTTCATCTCGATAAATGATAATAATAATTCGAACCGAATAATAATTTGATCCTATGACGTTTGATTCGAGCGGATAATTTCAATGATATTTTTATACAAAAACTTCCGATGTGAAAAGACATACATATACATATATCTATTCATAATGGTGAATATGTGCCAATTAAAATTTACTATATCTAGATCTAAGAAAAATGATCGAATAATTTTAAGCAACAATCGATTCGAAACGAAATTTTGAAAACAAATGGTGCAGACGATATATAGAAAGTAGGGATTTTGCGAAAAATGGTCAAATGTACATA